TCACAGCAACCTCAAACTCCTGGGCTTAGGCAATTCTCCTGCCTCAGCCTCCCAAGTAGCTGGGACTATATGTGCCCGCCACAACGCCCGGCTTTTTTGTTGCAGTTTGAACAGGGCCAAGTTTGAACCTGCCACCCTCGGTATATTGGGCCAGCGCCCTACCCACTGAACCACAGGTACCGATTTTTAAGAAGTCAAGCAGGAGAGCCCTTTAGGGTACAAGAAAGACTCTTGGAGCCGGGCCAGTGAGATGAAAAGCCAGAGAAACTGCCCAGTCTCCACTCCTGCCATCTACTTCATACTTCTTTTCTTATAAATCAGATCCCAATTTCAGTGTGTAGGGAGCAAGGTAGGCTCTAGAGTGATGCCGCTTGACTGCTAGCACGGTTTTCTCAAACCGAGACCCATGGAACCTGTGGGAAATGCTCCTAGGCCACAAGATTCTGAGCAAGATAGCAGGGAAGGTGGACAGACAGATGGACGGGGGCACTGGGGGAATGCAAGGAAGGTGGACAGACAGATGGACGGACGGGGGCACTGGGGGAATGCAGGGAAGGTGGACAGACAGATGGACGGGGGCACTGGGAGAGTGCAAGGAAGGTAGATGGACAGATGGACAGGGGCACTGGGGAGAGCAGGGAAGGTGGACAGACAGATGACGAGGGCACTGGGGGGGAGGAAGGTGGACAGACAGATGGATGGGGCACTGGGGGGAGCAGGGAAGGTGGACAGACAGATGGATGGGGACACTGGGGGGAGCAGGGAAGGTGGACAGACAGATGGATGGGGCACTGGGGGGAGCAGGGAAGGTGGACAGACAGATGGATGGGGCGCTGGGGGGAGCAGGGAAGGTGGACAGACAGATGGATGGGGCACTGGGGGGAGCAGGGAAGGTGGACAGACAGATGGATGGGACACTGGGGGGAGCGGGGAAGGTGGACTGATGGATAGGGGGCACTAGGGGGAGCAGGGAAGGTGGACTGATGGATAGGGGACACTGGGGGGAGCGGGGAAGGTGGACTGATGGATAGGGGGCACTGTGGGGTGCAGGGAAGGTGCACAGAGAGAGGGCACTGGGGGGAGCAGGGAAGGTGGACTGATGGATAGGGGCACTGTGGGGTGCAGGGAAGGTGCACAGAGAGAGGGCACTGGGGTGGGAGGGGAGGGAGGGATGATGACATCTAAGGACAGCCATCAAAGGGGACCCCAGACGTAACTGTGCATTTGTATGTCAGCCGAGGTGCTGAAATGTTTTAACAGCTCCTTACATTTACATAACATGAATTTTCTAAGCCTTTTCACATTTGATTCTTCCACCAGCCTGTGGCTTGGGAGGCTGGATTTGCACACAGACTCAGTTAAGTACAGACCCTGGGGCCAGAGAAAGCTGGACCCCAAGTCAGCTATAGGCCTGCTGAGCATTGCACGATGCCCCCTCCATGTCGCATGCCTGCAGGTGCCCTGGCAGCACAAAGCTCTCAGTTTGCCGTGTTTGTTTTTCTGATTAGCATTTAGCACCCAGATGGGGCATTTTCCAGTAAACTTAGTACACCTTACAACAGCCCTCTGAGTTAAGTCCATCTTTATAGCCAAATACCTGGAACTCAGAGAGGTGAGGGACTTAACAGTGGGCACAAGAGCCCAGATTTAAAGGCCAATTCCTGACCAGAGGGCCAGGGGATGTGTCCTGCTGGACACAGATGCCTCACATCTCCACGGCAAAGTAACAGTGTGAAGCTATCTAGTATTTTAAGGTTAATTTGGTTACACAGATACCATCACCCTGGTGGGCCATGGGATATGCCTAATTAGCCCCGAGTGAGAATTAACCGTAAGGCAATTTGGTTTGGGGTTTGCAGGCACATTAAATTCTTACTTAAATAAAAAGATCTTAATCTACCACTCGATACAGATTTCCTAGTGCAATAAAAATGAATGATTTTATTTCGACAGATGGAAAAAAATGTGTTTTCTTTTTATAGCACATTTTTGCACTTTTTCAGTCTGACTACTATCCCGCCAGGTTGGCAGTGTGCACCCCGGCCCCTCCAGCGTGGGCGTGGGCCTCAGGGGGCTGCTTGTATGTGAGGCCCCTCAGGCTGTGGCCGAGGGTCAGGAGAGGACCACAGCCTCAGTGTGGAGGCTGTGGGAGGCAGAGAGGGGGTCAGGGTGGCTCCATGATTCTTCCTCTTAGCTACTCCACATCGGACTCTGCCTTGAGATGCCTGCCCACAGACGGTGGGATCTCTCCTGAGCCCCCTGTCGACAAGAAATTTACACATCAGGGGGCCTAGAATTTAAGAAGTGAGAGAACATCAGCAGAGTACTTTCTCCTTTCCTCTGTCAAACAGGGCTCCTGGGTGCAGGGGTTAGGTTTCCATTGTGCCTGGGGCTAGAATTCCTCTCCACTCTTCTTCCTCACTCTAAATAGGAGCAAATAAGGTGAATTCCCTCTAGAATTCATAAGCGCTTATCCTGCCTGTGAAGCTTCCTAGTCTGGATCCTTCATAATGGTGCATTTATTTAGCAATTGGAATTTTATAAGGGACTTTTATATACTAGATTTTAATTGCATTTGGCAGAAATGATACTGAAGGAAAATGGTTTTGATATATTCACTTGACAGTAACATTTCCCTCTCTCCCTCCTTCCTTCTTTCCTTTCTTCCAGGCATTTTCTGCACTGGATAAAGAGGACACCGGGTTTGTAAAGGCTGCAGAATTTGGACAAGTTATTAAGGATTTCTGTTACAAACTCACAGATAATCAATATCATTATTTTTTGAGGAAGCTAAGAATTCATCTAGTCCCATATATAAATTGGAAATATTTCCTCCAGAACTTCAGCTATTACCTTGAGGAGGTAAGGATGTCTGTAGCATATAAACATCTTTGTGAAAATGAGCTAAAATTAGTTTCTCCAATATGGATAATTGATTTAAACCACATCAGATATATTGGCAATCACCTCATGTAATTAGCTCATTGTTATTGAAAAATTGGTATAGATTGTACATGGAGTATTAGATGGTGAATTTGTATCCTTTGTTAGGAAGATTTTGTTTTATTTTTATTTTATTATTTTTCAGAGAAGTTTTAGAGTTTGCTTTTATCTGGTTGTGTTAGAGTTCTAAGGAATCTTAGATCCTAGAATATGATCTAGGAAATAAGATTACTAGAGCAAACAGCATGATCATTTTTAAGGTTTTAGGTTAATAGTAATAATGGCAGCAAATGCTATAAAGCGCTTTCTGTGGGCCCCCGCCGTTCTTAGTCCCTTGCGTACACATCGGCAGGTGTAAGCCTAGTGCTGTTCATGTCCCCATTTGAGAGATGAGGCCCTGGCACAGAGACAGCAGGTCCTGCCCGCAGCCACCCAGCTGATGAAGGGAGAGCCGATGTGAAAACCCTAGGGGTGGGGAAGTTGGGCACTCAGGTCATCTGGACCACTCCCACAGGCCGCCAGGGCTCATCCCAGCTTCTCTGCAGTGGCCAGCTCTGTGCCTTGTGAAAAAGAGGTGCCCTGGGTGGCCACTTCCACACTCCTTGGCCGAAGTCCCAGTGCTAACCACTGCATCACCATCGGTGGCATAGCACTTGCAAGATGGCAGCGGCAGTGGTGTCTGGCACAATCGGCTGGGCGGGCTGGAGGCTCCTGCAGCTGTGGTGCCTGCCAGGTGCGGGTGTGGCCAGGGAGGCGGGTAACAGGGAGGGGTTGTGATTACCGTATTCCAGGGTGTTATTTTGCATACAGATATCGTTACTGCTTTCTAGAGTTGCACTTTTAATGTATAAGAATAAATAAAAGAATTAAGAACATTTATATAGGTATGGAAGCAGTCCTACCTATGTATAATGTGCATCCTTATTTTTCCCTCAAAAATTTGGGCAGAAAAGTGCACATTATACATAGAAAAATATGGCACATTGAATGTTGACTTCCACACTTATTTTTTTTTGCTTAACATTATGAATTTAAGACTTATTCATGTTGACACACCGGCTTCAGTCCATTCACGTAAGCTGCTGTAGAAATGGTCTTAAATGAAGGAATGTGTGTTACTTGGAGGAACGTGCTACCACACAGTCACCGTCCTCCTGTTAATGAACCTTCCTCCACCAGGAGCAGACACCAGTTAGACCTCATGCCTGCCTCCTTGTGCGCGCACATGGGCACTACTGTGTGTGAAATTCTGATGGGAGGGCAGGCCACGGTCAGCTTCCCCAGCTACAGTCGGCCTTCTACTGAGTGGCCGTACAGCTGCACTCCCCGCAACAGTCTGCGAGAGCTCCTGGCAGTCCACACCCCTGCTGACCCTTGGTAACTGCCAACCAGATTGTGAGTGAGGTTACAAGTGTGTATGCGGGTGGGGGTGGGAGTGTTAGCCACGCAGGTTTCTGCAGACACTGGAGAGGGTTTCAGTCAGTCCCCTGTCAGCATGTGAATCGCAAGTAACCTTCTCCTGGTCTGTCATCTATCTTTGCTCTTTGCTTATGATGACTCTCACTATTCTTAACCATTATACTTTCTGTGATTTTGAAAACATACATTTACTGTGGAAATTTGAGGAAATGCGGGTAAATTTAAAAAAGAAAGCAGGAATCTAAGCCCCAAGATGTTGGCATGATGATAAGAACAACCCTGGCCACCATTTAGCGATCACCTGCTAAGCTCTGGGCCCTTCCCGAGCGCTTCCTCATCTCCCTGTCTCCAGTGAGCAGATGGACACCAAGAAGTCAGTGGCCACCTCAGCTAGGAGTGGCTGGCCGGGCGGTTCAGACTTAGAGCTAATATTCTGTGTGTCACACTGCCTTGGAGACCTTCTTTTCCCTATTTTTAATGCACTTTTTTAAAGGAGCATAGATGATACTGTGTATATAGTCATGGATCTTGCTTTTTTTCACTTAACATGAAATTGTGCCATGTCACTTAAAGGACATCAGTTAAAGTGACTCTGATAGTCCATCAAACTCCCTTCCTTTTAAGTAGTCAGGTTTTACTGCAGCTTTTGCTACTGTGATTTACTCTACAGTGAACTCTGTGTATGTAAATCCATATCCATGTTTTGGAATCTAAGAAGTTAAATGACGGGTCAAAGAACAGGAATATTTTTATTGACCTCAGAAGCAGACCTTTATATATTATTTTAAATAATTATTTTCTATAAAGCTGAATCACATGAAATTACCATTTTTAAAGTCATAGGAGATGGAATATTGACAATTTCACACATTTAAGCTAATACTTGTAGAAGTTGTGACCATTATACGCTATTCAGAATATACTGATAACTTTGAAGAAAAAATTAAAACCACCCCAGGGACAACCAGTATCGATATTTTGGTGTATGTACATCCAATCCCTTTTCTATATAAATATCTTTTGGGAGTCGGCCAATGACAGACTGTATTCGCTTTTGAGTTTGGGGGTTGTGTTCTGGACTCTTGAAAGCTTGTTTTTTAATGAACATTTTTCACTGATATCAAAGTAATATATACCCTGCGGGTGCAACAGATGAGGACCAGGCTCTCTGGGTGGCGCCTCACGGCCTCTCCTCAGGGTTCTCTGGACGGCTGTCTTCAGCCTTCCCCTCAGTGTGGCAGCCTGGCCCTCTCCCAGCTCATGGATTCCCTCTAACGCGTACATTTCACCGGGCACGTGCTGCTCCACTGTGGCCTCGTTCCCTGTCTCTGTGAGCACGTGTTTCCTAGGGGCTCCTGAGTACCAGGCACCGAGGTGCCGAGCTTAGCGAACCAAACAGACGGGTCCTCGCCTTGCAGGAGCCTCCATTCTGGAGAGAGAAACAGACCAGGAGTGAGTGACGGGATTGCTCCTGTCTGAGAGGGTGACTTCCAAGCCTGTGAGGCAAAGCAGTGAGTTAGTGACAGAGGGGAAGGGGCTCCGGCACGGCCAGCGTGACACCATGGGTCTGAGGGGTGTGAGGACAGTTGTGGGGTGGGTGAAGGAGAGAGCTATAGGGGACGCAGGCAGGGCAGGTGGCCTGGGGTTCTCGTAAAGATTTTGGCTTTGACTCTGGATCTTTGAGGGACCCGTGAGTAGAGGAGGCTGTGCTCAGACCTCCACAGTCCTGCCTTTGGGTGGCTGGACCGTCCCATGCACAGGTCACCGGGATCTCTCTGCTGGCTCTGGAGTTACTGGCCCGGGGTGTGAGCATCTCTGCAGCTTCCCCCGCCTTAGGGAGCTCGACCTGATCTCCCAGTCACCTTCACCTCCAGAAGCACTTTGCTCACCAGCCAGTGAGAAGGTTTAGGGCTAATTGTGAAAAGAGTGATGAGGATAAATCTGCTCTAAGACAGGAGTGACAGGAGTGGGCTGGGGACCAGGACACAGAGGCGGCCCTACCCTTGGGAGCCCTGCACTGCCACCTCCTGCTGGGTCACCCCCCAGAGTGGACCTAGGAGGATGTGGTAACAGCCAGGGCCTGAGCCGAGGTGAATCAGGAGCGTGTGCGTTTGGCAGGAGGACAAGCTGAGCAAGGGAACTCTGGGCTGGAAGGACAGTGTGAGACCAGGAGAGTGAGACACGGCAGGGCAGGGGATGACCACACACGGTTCTGGTCATAGCGGATCCCAGGGAGGTGAGGGCTTTCTTTCGTCCTGCTTTCTTTCTTACCCCTGGGATAAGAGGAGTGACAGGGACAGACCACAACGGTTCCAGCATCTTTTGCTGGGGTTCAGGTCCCTTCCTCTGAGTGAAGAAGAAGCAGTGATGACTTCTGAGCCCCCAGATGGGCAGCTCACCCTCGGGTGGTGGGAAGGTGAGGAGTCTGCTCCCGAGAAGACTCCTCACGTTTAATCCCAGCCTGGTCTTTTTTTAATAGCAGGGAAAAGAAGTAACAAATAATAGCAGTAGTTAATGCATCATCCTTAAAGCTCATTAATGTGATACCAGTCATCCTTTTCCTCTGGGGAATGCACAGGAGGCAAGTAATTAAAAGAAGATTACCAAAATGTAATTAAGACAGGAGGCACCTCTCCTCACAAAGCAAGTTCACCGTGAATAATCCCCGGGCAAACCAAATCCATTCTTGGAAAGGGAAAAACTGGAATTTTAGTTAAGACATTGCTTAAGACCTTGAGTCGATTGCAAGTACGCAGAGAGTAAAGACAATTTCACAGCTACTCGTAATCCATTCCTTATATTGGGTGTACCACTAAGTCTGTCCTCAGAAACTTTTGCTAATCTCACATCTCATCCGCCTGTCACAGACACGTGAAAACGATCTGAGCATTTCTCACAGCAAACGCGGGTGCTTTCTGGTCCCAGGCCCGCTACTTCACCAGGCGGTCTCGCCTCTTCCCAGCTCCTTCTGCTTCTCTGTGGAGCACCACTGCAGTCAGATAGTGTTTCTCAAAGCGCAGGGCCGGGCCACCGGCCAGCACAGATCAGCCCGCTGTGGGGCACGGGTCAGTGCATGGGCAGGCCCAGGGTGGGGGGTCTTCTGTGCCGCAGGCACGGTGGTTCCCCTGTGCACACAACCCTCAACCTTGAGAACCAGCCCCTTGGTCACACAGGCTCGTGAGCGGATGGGAAGACGAAGGCGAGTGTGTCTTTCCAGGGAGGGGCCCGATGCTCCTTCCTTCCTGCACCTGAGCCCGTCCCACCTGACTCACGTGGGAAGCACCCACCTATGGGGCATAAAAGAAGGAGGAACGTGGTAGTGGGTCCGAAATGCTGTCTAGTGGCCTGGTTAACAAGCAAAACAGGCGGGTAGGGGGCACAAGTCCTCGATGGCAGCAGAAGTGCCTTTTCATGAGATTCCAAGGAACCGGGTGAGAACATCACCTGAACTTCTCTCCTCACAGACTCCTCTTTTTCACCCCGGAAAAACATTTTACACT